TGCTTTCTGTGATCCATGAGCAGAGACCGATGTGAATTGTTCGTTGGAGGATGCTATCGTAGACTGAAATTAAACTGTTAATTTTTCCAACAAAAATCCACTCTGCTGAACGAACAATGCAACCAAGAAAGAAAAAAATTAAAATTCTTGTTCCCTTATAATTTCTTTTAATATGTAGGTCGCAATAATCATTAATTTTCTTCTTCATGAAATTTCCATACCTTCACTCTTTGTTTCGGTTCTGAATTTTTGTTTGTGTCGTACTTCCCATCTACAATTTTTACTTTTTTAGAACCAGCTGGTGATGTATAATATGATGGTACCTGGTAATTTGATAAGTAATCTTGTTGCGATAAAGATGAAGAAGTTCGTACAGATGAATAAGATGAAGAAGGTTCAGAAAATGACGAAGGCAGCGCTGGTGGACAAGAGGTTGCTGGTGACGCAGGAGGACAAGGAAGTATTGATGGAGCTGATGTTGATGACGGTTGAGGTAAACAAGGCGATTGTGCTGTTAGAAATGAACAGGATAATAGCAGTGACGAATTTGAACATAATTCTGGTGGTATACAAGATGGGCAAGATGACGATAGTAGCTGAGAAAGACAAAATAATAATGAGGGACATGGTCCCGATGGCAGTAAAGGAAGTGGACAGGGTAGTGACGGTGGTGAACATGGTGGTAGAAAAGATAAGCAAGGTGAGGGTGGTGGACATGGTGGTGGTGGTGGAGGTGGTGGTGGAGGAGGTGGGCAGGGTAATGGTAGTGGACACGATCTTGGTGGTGGGCAAGGTAAAGGCAATGGACACGGTATTGGTGGTGGAGGAGGTGGGCAGGGTAAAGGCGGTGGACACGGTCTTGGTGGTGGGCAAGGTAAAGGCAATGGACACGGTCTTGGTGGTGGACAAGGTAAAGGCGGGGGACACGGTCTTGGTGGTGGAGGAGGTGGGCAGGGTAAAGGCAGTGGACACGGTCTTGGTGGTGGAGGAGGTGGGCAAGGTAAAGGCGGTGGGCATGGTGGTGGAGGAGGTGGGCAAGGTAATGGCAATGGACACGGTCTTGGCGGTGGAGGAGGTGGGCAAGGTAATGGCAATGGACATGGTCTTGGTAGTGGAGGAGGTGGGCAAGGTAAAGGTGGTGGACATGGCGGTGGAGGAGGTGGACAAGGTAATGGTGCTGGTGGAGGTAAACAAGACAGCGGTGATGGAGCAATACACGGTACCAACGAAAGTGATGTAGTCGCTCCTCTACAAAACGGCGTACAACAACATATGTCTGAGTGGACCTCTCGGATTATTACTTCAAAAAGCGTAATCAGTACACAGACCGCGAGATGCATCCTATACCTGTGTATTACATCTGATGGTACCTCTGCAATTCACACTATTGTTAAGGACAAACTACAAGTTTGATCTCACGATTGTATCTTTCACTTTGTATTGTTATTTACTCACTAAACAATTACTTAAAACAATTTGTTCAAGTCAGTAAGCTGTTATGAAGCGGTGTGAGTTCTTCACTTGCTAATGCGAGCATCGAGAGGAATTTTCACCTTTGAGGAATTTTTTCTTACACTCCATTCTCAACTGAAGCGAGGAAATTAGAAACACCTTTAACAAATTCAAAACAAGTAAATTCTTGATTTTCAGTAATATCTCTTTACCATCTTCGATTCAGCCCTAAGCTACATTTGGATAATACATACATTAGCATGGCAAACACAAAGTCCTTTTGCAATTAATGAGTCTAAAAAATTCTATATCTCGTAAAACTTCACACAAAATGCTTGATCTCAAAAATCTTAAAATGGGAGTCTGGCATTTTAAACCAATTTGTTGTCTGCCCAAGTTTACTGATAGTACTGTGAACTGGTTCAAGCATATTTTGGCACATGAACATGATGCTAAGGACAAAAATATGTTCAACTTGGGGTGGTAATAGAAGTTAGAATAACTGTAATCCAGAAAAGCTAACAAAGTAGTAAATGGATCCTATCTTGAAAAAGGACTCAACTAAGTCACTGAAAGGCTCTAAGAGTCTGTTTCAGAGCATACTTTTAACAACTCTGTTATCTGCCTTGAATATAGTAGACTAATAATATCGACCTCTCAAGAACTTATTTTTTTCATAACTACTGTAAAGAGACATGCACATTTAACAGCCTACTCTTCCCAAAAAAAGAAAGTTAATCTCTCAAAAAACCAATGTGAACATTAGAATATCATATACTGTAATAAATATAATAAGACTGTAATAAATATACTGTAATAAAACAAGTGGAAACAGAACTGAACTCGAATACAACTGGAAATATAATACAGATACTGAGTACCTAATTCAAATATATCACATTTTCAAGGCAATTAAATGGGTGGCCACCAGTTTGTTCCATTGAATTTGCTCGATAGTACGAATGCTCAAAATATGAGTTCATTCTGTACTGGCTTTGTCAAATTGTTTTGACAAAAATTTCCTATTTAGATAATATGCTATGAAGACTTTGTCCTCTTTAAAATTTTTGGATAAAATTCATGCAGCAAGCACAAAACCATTTAATTACAACAATAAATGAGCTACATAAAGTATTTCTTTCAAAGTATTCACGTTAAAGCACATTTTTGATGCCAAATTATCAAGAACGATCCCACTTAGTCGAATGTCAGAATATTTAGCATTTTTTATGCAAAAAAATATTAAAGGTTTGATTAATTTTGATTGCACTGTCTGTCAGTGATCTTTTGGCATTGAAAATTTTTTCTTGTTTGGGATTTTTATGCTTAAACAACTTTCGATGAAGCATGTTCAGAAAGTAAATCAGATATTGTTCACCTAGCAACTGAATCCTCTACATCATTTTTATCTCCACTGTTTTAGGAATGATAGCTGTTCATAACTTCTGTAAACAAGTCAAAATCTTGATCTTAAAATTTTCAAATCTTTACTGATCATCTCTTATACTTTCTAGAGATTCTAAGTTTTGTTGTGACGCATTTTAAGGACGAAAACTAATCAAAAAGCTTTTCTTCTTTACAGAAGTAACTAATTGTTTTAGTTTGTTTCCATTTCCATTCAGAACAACTTATTACCAATTTAGTTAAAAAGTACTGAGATTGATCTTGCATAGTTCTTCTCTGAAAACAGTTTTAAAATTTATAATTCAGCAGTGACTTTTTTGCTTTCTATTTCAGTTCACTGTTCGAAAAGCAGTTCACTTCAGCTCATAACAACTTCAAAATTTAAAATCATAAACTCAACAAGTTTTCTGTCTTACTTGAAATTTGGTAAAAACAGGTTACAAATAAAACTCCATCTTGTCAATCCGATTAGTATCAGTGAAAAGGATAAATAATCGAGTTTTTAAATCCTTATACTTACTACAGTCATCGATGAATTTGAATTTTTGAAATAACAATCTAATAATATTTCTCACATTTTCCATTCAAACAATGAATGCCACGAAAAGTTCAAGAATTTGAGATACATAAATTATAGTATTTTGTTGCGATTTAAATCTCTGACAATTTGCCAAAAATTATTATGATATTCATGCCAAGTATAATTTCCAAAATTTTTGTTTTTGAAAAGAGAGAAACTCTCATGCATTGTATAACTAAAAAATTCTTCTCTAACTGATTTCTTTTTAACAAATACAAATAATATACGAAAGTAATTTTGAATTTAATGCATCTGCTAATTTAAATTTTTGGAAAAACAGTTATGAGATTCACACTAGCTTCGGAAAGCAAAAATTTTATTTGTTCATTTCGGTTTCAAATTAAAATCATCTTTTCCATCCTTTACGAATTCCATTTCATTTAATAAGTATCTTAATATTATACCTTCACACGCATTCGGGTAGTTCGAATTAGAAAGTATTCTTTCCTCATTAATATTAAAATACAGAATAAATCGCTCAGTTTAATTAAATTTTGATTTTACAAAAAAGTAGCTCAAGTAAATTAATATCATGTATAGTTCAAACTCCAAATTTCCATTTTTCAGCCAATTTCAGTCATAAAACTCATAATTGTAATTGTTCATTATTACTTATATTCACTTTTTAGTCTCTTCAGAAATTTTTCATGACATTTCAATTTATTATTTACATCATTTCAGTATTAAATATTGACAAATTAATAAGTCATGCTTTAAATTTCATTTACATTTTAATAAAATACATGGAGTGGAGAATTTCAAGCAATAATACAGCTAGATAATGGGTACAGTAACAATAATTTAATAAGGAAAAATTAGGAGCAGAATAGAAACGTTCAAAACTAAACTATGAGGAAAATCAAACGAATATAAAATCACTGAAATTGTTTTTTCAAATATTATATGACTATAATAACTTACTTTTGTCACTTTTCTCAGTAATTATGCTAATTAATTATGTTACTTAATTGATGCGTCTGATATAACTGCTTGAACCATTTCTTTCCATTTCCAGATTAATCTTTCCAGACAGTTTTTAACGAACTCTGAACTTTTACTTGCAGTTTGTGGCTGACTTCTTTGTA